TTCTCATTTCATAAAAAACCTGGGCAGTGTCCAAAAAGTTGTGCAGGCACTTGCCCAAATTTATCATAAAAGTGGTAGGTACCACTCACTGGAGACACGAAGTCCACCAGTAATCTTCGGAGGCACGCCGTAAAATGCTGGGGTGAAGAAAATGTCGACGCCGCCCGTGGACATCCTGTTGATGAAATCCGTGAGGCAACAAAAGGCATCACACCATCTGGATCGATAACGGCGGCATTTGAACGGAAGGGGAAAGGGAAAATTACTTATTCACATCATCAGCACACCCAAACGGAAACTAGGTATTTCTTTAACTCACCATGGGGGAGAATGGTACTGAAAAAATGAAACAGGGCCAAGATAGTCCATTGGGTAGCTGAGAGTTCACAGCCCTTGAATATCCTCAAGGATTGTGGGTTCCAGAGCTTGATGAAGACTGGACGCCCGGAGTACTGGCTCCCGTCGCCAAGTACCTCTGCATGAGATGTCAAGTTGGTGTTTGTGAAGACTCGAAATCGGGTTGCTAGAATTCTCCAGGTCAGTTGGCATGACGGTATATAAGATGTAGTCTCACCTGCTTCAAGGAACACCCAGGGACACTCAGCTTTGCTACTGACACGTGGTCTTCTCCCAACCATAAGGCCTATGTTGCGGTTACTGTCCACCTCAAGCAAGATGGCATTCTGCTTTCGATGCTCCTCGACATTGTCGAGGTCCCTCGCTCGCATTCTGGCTTGAACCTGGCAAAGGTGTTTGCAACTATCCTGGAAGACTTCAAAATTTCAGACAAGGTAAGCAGGGTTCTTATATCACAGAATTCAAACATACCTTCCTTCCAGATCCTCAGCATCACATGCGACAACACGTCCAATAATGGCACGATGATCCTCAAGCTTTCGAAGCTCGCTCCCGCCTTTCCTGGTGAATCCAACTTGATTCGATGCTTCAACCATGTCCTCAGCCTTGTCGCAAAGACCGCCATTCATGTGTTTGACGTCCCCGAAGTTAATAAGGATGAAGTCTTGGACAACGCAACCGCTGAGCTGCTGGAACTGGCAAAAAACCTCGATATTGAGGAGCTTGAGGCTCAGGAAGCACGATTGGATGGCGATGGCGACAGCAATAATGAAGGTGGGCAGGCGGACAGCACAGATGGATGGATTGACGAGCGCCTTGAGCTATCGGATGTCGAGCGTGAGGAACTGGATGACAGTGTCCTCCCAGTTCAGCTGCTACTAGTCAAGGTACATTCAGTTTTTGTATCGGAAATGGATAGACGAAGACTTACCAGAATTCTACAGCTGCGTAAGTTCTCCTACACAATTATAAACTCCACCACTCTGCTGTTGCCGAAGTGGTTTTCGACATTGAAAGACCTGGGTCTGGATGAATGTGCGATGCCCCGAGATGTTTCAACACATTGGAACTCGACCTATGACATGTTAAAGTTTGCAATTGACTATCGAAAGGCGATTGACAGACTTACTGGTGACAAGAACCTTGGTCTTCGGCAATACAAGCTTGATGACGATGAGTGGGAGATCACGCAACAGTTGTCTTCGTTGTTGATGGTGAGCTGACATCAACAATCCATGGGACAGCTTACTAATCTTTTCACAGATATTCAAAGATGCGACGTTGTTCTTTTCGCGCTCGACGCCCAACATCCCCACTGTCCTTCCAGCCATGGACCACATCGATGAGTGGCTGACGACTGCCTCTGTCAACTCAAAGCTTCCCACATCCATCCGCGCAGCTGCCAGTCTGTCCAAAAAAACCCTAAACCACTACTATGAACATTCCGATTGCTCCAAGGTCTATTGCATCACAATGGGTATGTATTTCGGTTCTATGTATCTATTTATTCATACATTAACTTTCCTTAAACTAGTTCTTGATCCATGTTGTAAACTAGAATACTTCAAAACGGCGAAATGGGAGAAAGAATGGATCGACGAAGCAGAACAGCTCACCAGGCAGGAGTACATCAACTCCTACAGGGATCTGGAAGTTGAAACTTCAGAACCGAGCATGGTTCTTGCTGCTCAGGCTGAGAAGCGGGTAAGTGCTTCCTGATCAGAATCGATAATACTAAACCCAGTTCCAGAGCACCTCGACATCAACCAACATGTTTGACTCTCTTCCTGCGTTCTCAGGAACCGTGTCTTTCACCAACCTTGACGAACTTTCGCAATACCTTTCTGAAGACATTGTTTCGATGAAACCACATGAGACACTTGCATGGTGGGCATCCAAGAAGACGGTCTACCCTCGCCTCTCCCGCATGGCGCTTGACTATCTTTCTATCCCTGGTGCATAATTTATCTGTTAAACACAGACTGTGACATTACTGATGTACTCGATAGCTACCTCCACTGACATTGAACATGTTTTAGCCATGGCTGTATACTTTTGTCTCATCTCTGCAACCGCATGTCTGCTCAAACAACCCGTTCGCTCATGTGTCTCCAGGCTTGAAGCCTTCTTGGCTACGTCAAGAATAAAGATGTACTTTCTGTTACACGGCTGCCGGAGACTGATGGTGAGGATGATGAGGACTTGGAAGATGGATGGGATCATATTGATGTGTAAAGTATTTTCAAACTGTCGTACATGTTGTTCTCGTAGATTATGACCTGTCAGACCCATTGGACCCGCACAACCCGCGCAACCCATGTAAGACCCATGCAACCCGTGTACAAACCCACACCCGCACCCCAACCCGGCTCTTGGGTAGGGGTATTTGCAGGTGCAGGTACAGGTCACACATTAGCACCCGCGGGTTACCCGTGGTGATCACTAAGATTCTGGAGGCCACTTGGACTCCAGGTGGAGTCCATGTGGAGTCCAGATGGATTTTTTACATAAAGTAGGTGAGGTCTTTTCCAAATGGAGTCCAGATGGAATTATGGAGTCCATGTGAACTCCATCTGGAATCTGTGGGGGAGGATTAAGTACACTTAATTACTGTGAATGATGCTCCAATCTCACAAGGGGGCTTTGTGATACAGTAGCCTACTACTTACCGATAATTGTATTTACTCATATTTGTCTTCTTGTATATTGTTGTGCCAAGGCTAACCAATATACTTACTTGCAACTTCCATATCATTTACATGTGGAGCAGGTCACTCTTATTATCTACGGCTAGGCAGCCATACACCTCCCCTGCAGGATACCAGAGCCCTATGCCAGGTGACAGCGTCCCCCATCCTGGGTCACTGGATCTTGTAGGCATGGCCATGATGCCTGTGACTGCTCCACATGTTCTCTCTCATGTACCATGAATCTTCTCTGCCACCATCTCTTGCTCATGCCTCCATTGAGAAGCCTTGAACAACCCTACAGTTTCACACTGATATTGAAGGAACCAAACTGGACCTCCTAGGACGAGTCATGTGTGGTCCATGGAACTGGTTCAGACTGATCCAGACCAGTTTTTTGCATGTAATTCATTGTACCAATATAAACCATTTGTATCTCAACTATTATTACTCTAAAAAATAAATGGGTTATATAACATATCAAGGCATGTAAATACCCATTATTCTACCAATTTGTAAGAAATTTGGTGAAGATTTAACATAGCTATGACTTAAACTGAATTACATCTCCTAAAGACTTGGGCAAAGTATAATGTGGCAACTGCAAATTATTTGATGCATATCATGCATTGATAGATGGTGAGCATATTTTCATACTTATAGTTTCAATATCCAAAAATTTAATCAAGCAAAATGATGAAAATTTGAGTGAGTTAGAATTAAAGTCATTCTGGTACAAGTTGTGCAAACAAGTATTTGTACCAAAATGGATTTGCTTATATCTTTCTCAGTTCTTAACCATTTTTGATGAACTAAAAACCCAATCAAAGGTGAAAAAATGTGGTTACCAGGGTATGTAGTCACATGACCATTTAACCAGTTGCAACTGATTGAAACTGCTCTTTGAACAGTTTTAAAAGATTTTTGAAATGAGGCAACTGGCAACCAGAATAACCCCAAATTTGGGCAACTGCAACCGAAAAAAAGACCAGTCCATGGTTCAATTCAGTTTGGTCCTACAGTTTTTTTGGTCCTATGGACTGAACCTTTAAACACTACTTGACAAGCAAAAAAACAAGAAACTGTCACCACTTCATCATATGAGG